ATAATGATTTTACGATAGTAAATAATTTACACATTTAGTTCTATTTATACTGTATATATTATTTTTATAGTTTTATAATCTCTTAAATTATTATTATTGAACTTCATGTGGGTGGAAGACAATTACCACTGATATCAAAAAGGTAATATGTTACAGGTACATATACTGTAGTATGACTGGTTATAGCATGTTGCTACAAATTGTTTACCAGCCAACCACATCTTTTGAACCCAGAAGCATATTTCAACAGAATTCTCCAGTAATTTCTACCGTCTTCCAGGTGAATTACCCTAATTTGAGAAGTCAGAAAGTAACCACCACGTAAAGTGCATTATATTTCTAATGCCAAATGCCATTTATGATGCACAATTTCTCTTACACTCAACCAACATTCTCTTCCAATATGGACTATGTAAGCAACAGTGTTATACTGGTCAAGAACCCATTTATTTATACCAGACTGAATGAGCAGAACTCCCAGCAGGTGTAACATTATATCACATTTTCAAGGTATAAAGAGCAGATACTAAATTTGTGGGTATATCCTCCCCAGGTAGTCCTATTAACTAATAGAGAGACTACAAAAGAGCTGCATTAATGAGCATAATTAACCCCTCTTATATAAAATTATTATACAGTATGCCATTAAGTGACACAATGTCCCTGTTACCCAGAACTGTACATTTTGTGGGTAAGAAATACTTCATACACACTGAGATTTCAAAGAGCCCAATAGTGATGCAATGGCATAAGTCAAACAGCTAAGGCCTAATTTTTTTTAAAGTATAATGGTTAGTTTCTATTTACTGTACATCATGGTATTGCAACCTTTCTTGAATGCAATGTATGAAGAATTTATAAGCTTTGATAATAGTGGTGTAAAAATGGAAGCCTTCTCATAATGATTTGGATAACTTTAAAGAGAATGTTGTACTAAATTCAAGATGTTTGGTTTTATGTGCAATTATAGGTTCAAAATGTATACACAAGCACATGAATATAAAAATTGATGGAATAAGTTTTCCTATGACCTAAAACTGTCATTTTCTAACTGTGTGGTACAGAATACTTACAGCTAAGAGTTTTAGGTTATTAACACCATTTTTACAATACAACGAGAGAGAGAGAGAGAGAGATTTTATATATATATATATATATATATATATATATATATATATATATATATATATATATATATATATATATATATATATATATATATATATATATATATATATATATATATATATATATATATATATATATATATATATATATATATATATATATATACAGTCAACCTCACTTTACGCGGTCCTTCTCTGCTTCACGCTTACGCTGTGCCCTGCCAGAACCCAGGATGCTCACATTCCGCGGTGGGTGTACCCTTTACACCGTGAAGTATAATTTTTTAATTTAGCTCATAAAATTCATACAAATTATCCGCCAGAATATAATTTACATTGCTGGAATTTCTTACAATTTGATGATCATTTTGAATATAAACATCATAGATTTTGCATTAGACATACAAATTTTAGATATAATGTTTACTCTTGAGTAAATATGTTATCTTTGTGCAAAATATATGATATTTATATTCAAAATATTCCTGGTCTTACAAGGAATCCAGCAATGTCAATTATATTATCCTAACTTTAGTCTGATTTATTATTTATTACTAAAGGTAAACAGTCTGGTATTCCCACACATTTATCTAGTAGGGACGCGGTGGGGGGTGGGGGAGGAGGAGGACCATGACCACCATCTGTTACCGTGTGAAGAATATTTTTTTTTATTAACTGAAGATTTTTATTTTAGCTCATAAAATTCATACAAATTACCCGCCAGAATATAATTTACATCTGGAATTCTTACATTTTGGTGATCATTTTGAATATAAACATCATATATTTTGCATTAGACATAAAATTTTTAGATAAAATGTTTAATCCGAGTAAGTATGTTTTCTTTTGTGCAAAATATATGACGTTATATTCAAAAATATTCCTGGTCTTACAAGGAATCCAGCAATGTCAATTATATTATTCTAACTTTAATCTGAGGTATTATTTAATACAAAATGTTAAATCTAAATTTTTCACCCAACATCTCTTGAAGGAGGATTGGGGGGTTGGGGAGGGTTGGGACTGACCACGCGGTTGGAAGAGGGGGAGGCAAGGTGGGGTACTTTGATTGACAGATAGTGTCGAAGTAATATTTTTTTTTTTATTAACTGAAGATACATTATTTGTTTTAGCTCATAAAATTCATACAAATTACTCCGCCAGAATATAATTTACATTGCTGAATTCTTACAATTTGGTGATCATTTTGAATATAAACACTATATTTTGCATTAGACATAAAATTTGTAGATAAAATGTTTAATCTGGAGTAAGTATATATCTTTTGTGAAAAATATATGACATTTATATTCAAAATATTCCTGGTCTTACAAGGAATCCAGCAATGTCAATTATATTATCCTAACTTTAGTTTGAGCTATTATTTATTACTATACCTGGTTTTCCCAAAATTTCTCAGAGAGGGAAGAGCCAGCAGTGTAGTGTGAGAGGGGGAGGGAGTCGTCCATTATTTGAATGGACATTAACTTGGCGACTGTATTTCTATTTCTTAAGTATTAATTGTGTGCATGTACCATCATAAAATTAAGATGTTATTTTTACTAAACATAGTTATGTGTCGCCAAAAAGTGGAGTTTGGGGATCGGCCTGACTCCATTTCAATTAATCCCATATGTTATGTTATTCACTTTACGCTGCTTCGCTTCTCGGGTACCTCCGGTTACATTAACTGCCATAGAAGTAACTGTATATATATATATATATATATATATATATATATATATATATATATATATATATATATATATATATATATATATATATATATATATATATATATATATATATATGAAAAGCCTTTAACATAGTAACTTCTTCATGCATATGGTAACATGTGAACTGGCTTTAAGTTAGTAAGAGTAATAAACCTGGTCAACGAGTCAAGAAATATTAAATTTGTAATGAAGTTGGAAGAAGAGGTGAAGGCATGGCTTCAACAGTGCTGATATTGTGAATAGTAGATCTATGTTGAGTTATGGACTGTGAGGGTAGAAAGGCATGTGTTGGTTTGACTGGTTCACAATTAACTGGGGGCAGGACATCCGAGTTACTGTACACATTCTGGGTTACATTTTGATGGAAAAGCTGGTCTACATATTCAGAGGTAGTTTCTGTAATGGCTGTCTCACTAGGCCTTACCTCCTCAACTTTAACCTTGGAATTAGATGCTGAGAACTCCCACACATTTCTCAAGATGATTTTGTGGCTGGGACATGTACATATTTTGCTGACCTTGCTGATCCATCTCTTCCTCCTCAACCATTCCTGTCACTCTGTTTCCTACATCCAAACTCTCAATGATCTCAACATTTTCTAATAATAACTCATTATTAGTTGTGTCCAACTGCTGTACCTCTTGATTAACCAGTGGGTGGCCAAACTGATCCTTACTCACATCAACTACAGCTCTTTTTCCTGTATTCATCTCCCCCATACTACTGCTTATATGGTTGGCTGACATGTGGTTTTGTGTTACTGTGTGTGTAGACCAAGGCAGTACCTCCTGACTATATTGGGCACACTTGGAGTGTCAGTGATAAAAGGAACAGAAGTAACAACAACAGATGGTGATGGATTTAAGGTTACTGGTGTTCCCCGGTGTTCTCCACAACTAACACTCACCAGACTACCATTCTTAACAATACGGTTGTTAACTACAACATTGTTCACAACCTGTTTATTGATAACTACCCTATCATTATTAGAATAAGATCCACCATTAACAAGGCTGATGGTTCTGACTGGAGCAAAAGTAGTTACACCTGTATTAGCAACACTACCCACTGTCTGAAGCCTAACACCTTCTAGCTGCTCCCCTAATCATCAACTTGGCAGAATTATTCACTGAGGTTGAGGATGTACCACTGAAAGATGATCCAATGGCAGCATGGGCTACAGTAGTTACTGGCGAGGTTATGTCTCGACTTACTGAAGTCCCTTCAAAGTTGTCTGCACTGGTTGTATAAGTGGACAGCTGCTGATTATTTCTACTTACAAGTGAGGCACTACCATGGTAAACTTTGGCCAACCTTCCATCTTGACCCTGAACATACTCAACAACATAAACCCCATGACCATTACTGGTGTTAATGTTAGAATCTGGCCGAGTATTTGAAGGAACCGTTGTTACCTCAGAAGTAATGTTGCCACCAGGCTCCAGTACACTATACCCTGGTCTCCCATAGCATTTCAGAGGTTTCTTGACTGTAAACCAGTCATGTTTATTCCCTGATCCAGCATTCTGTTGCCTCGTCACAGATGACAAGATCACTTCATCAGTGAGACTTTCCATGCCAGCACATATTGTAATCACTTCATCTGGGGATATCTGGTCACCCACAAACTCTGTACAACTACCTACAATTTGGGTTGTCACTTCCTCTGTCACTTGACTAATGATATTATCTACCTTAGCACCTTCCATATTACTGACATTACTTATGTCTGCTGAAACAATAGGTTCAGTGGCTTTCTAAACTTTTAAGATCAATATTAATGGTATTCCAAGATGATCTTATATTGACCTTAGGCAGTGAATTATGTTCTGGCGGTGGCTGGAAGACATATGTACGCAAATCGTCCATAGCAACTTCCTCAGTCACAACCTCTTCCTCAACTCCCTCCTCCAAATAAGTACTCTCATCTAATTTTTTTTCACGAGTCTTCTCCCAATTGGTTATTCCCTCTATATGGTTAAGTCTCTTTTGATTCTTGGCTGAACTTATTTTTTTGGACCTGATAAGCAGACCCGTTTTGCCATTGGTTACTTGTTGGACCCCCAGAGTCCTGACCATAGTGTTAGATGATATCTGACAACCCCCTACATCTGTAAGGTCACCTGACTGAAGAGACTCATCTGTATGAGAGCCTCCTCCTCCTTCTTCTTCTTTCTTCTTCTTCTTCTCCTTCTTCCTCTTCATCATCATCCTCATTCTCTTCCTCACGATCACCTTCCTCAAAGTCAGTCCATATCTGCTCTTCTTCCATCTGAGCAGCAGCTTCAGGGCTAATAATCTTTAGAGGCTGACGGGTCCTGGGAGGTTTTCTTCCCTGTGTCTTCTTCATGCGATCTGCCTCTTCCTGTGACAGGATGATGATGGCTCCTTGGGTCGTCAACAACTTGCCATGTCTTGTTCTCAAATGTCGTTTGTATGTATTGCGAGTTTTAAACCTGCAAAGAATGTTAAGCATTGCATGAAAATATAATCATGTTCATTATGTAAAACATCAATTTTAACCTTAAACTTCATTGTAAGTTTATAAAAGTTGCTAAAACATCCAACTGCAGTATTTCTTGAAGCCTGAACATTAGCATGGTTATAGGGAAGTCTGGCAATTTAGCCCTCAAAATGATCCTTTTTTTTCTCTCTCTAAAAGAATAAAGTCATGAAAAGGGATCCTGGCTCTGTATATTCACTCACATCCGTTACCAACGCAAATGCCTAAATATATGGTGTGTCTCTCACCAACAAGTTATTTTTTACAATAAAGAGGGTTCTTCAAAATATGCTACTCACTGAAGATGAATTAGAGTATAAAGAATTATACATGATTGTCAGTACAGTACCATAGAATACAGGGTTATCCAGCACCTACAGGGATTGAGAGGTGCCGGAGAGAGATTTTCCTACAATGCATACTATCACGGCCTGAACTCGCAAATTCATGTCTCGGAAAAAAAAAGAACTTCTTTACCATGTATTCCACTCTACTGTATATAAATCACATGGCTTAGAAAAAAAGAAAATGTAATATAAAACTATAAAATAAGAAAAATGAATAGCATGGGTGCGTATGTGTAGTAAAGAAATAACAAAAATGTAATATGTAACTATAAAATTAAAAAGGATAGATGTGTGTGTGTGTGTCATTGGCTCGCGCTCCTCTCACTCTGAACGGGATGTGACCACCTTCACTTACTGAGCACAGCCAGATACGCAGCTCCCGGCCCGAGGAGAATTGACATCCTATTTTTGAAGGACTTTCTACCATATTTCTAGTCTACCTAGGGGGGGTTACATCCAACACCAACATGTAGAAGAAGGCTGAAAATAATGATATCCATAAAAAAAAAAAAAACGCATTTTGCCCGGGGTGGCATTTACCCTCATTTTATGATATGCTATGCATCAAATTTATTGTTTATCATAGCAATAAACATGGCAGCTCATCCTTGTTGTGTGCAGTATTCAAACATATGATTTTTACTGATTTTGGAGGAATTTTAATTTTATTACTGTATATACAGGGTGTTCAGTAAATACCTTTCATAATTCAGGGGTGTATTCCTGAGACATAAATAAATATAAATTACTAAATGACCAAATTGTCTCAGGAATACACCGCTTAATTTATGAAAGACATTTACGGAACACCCTGTATGTATGTATGTATGTATGTATGTATGTATGTATATACACACACATATATATATATATATATATATATATATATATATATATATATATATATATATATATATATATATATATATATATATATATATATATATATATATATATATATATATATATATATATATATATTTTTTTTTTTTTTTTTTTTTTTCATGTAAATCCACAATGAAATGAGCCTTAGCTGCCTTTATTCAAGACCTAAAGCCAAGGTAATTCGCTGTTTCATTTTCCCTGCAGATTTTATATATATATATATATATATATATATATATATATATATATATATATATATATATATATATATATATATATACATATATACAGTAATTCCCCGCCTAACGCCGTTTCACTTAACGCTGCTTTATCATATAATGCGGTGCCTCGCCAGAGCTGAACTTTCACTTAACACGATTTTTTCCACACATGTGAGTGTCCAGCTCGAGACGCTATTTTTAGATTTGCCCCACCCGCCACCCTGCCTGACTCTGTTTTAGCTCATAAAATTCATACAAATTACTCGCCAGAATATAATTTATATTGCTGGAATTCTGATAATTTGGTGATCATTTTGAATATAAACATCATATTTTGCATTAGACATACAAATTTTAGATAACATTTTTTCTGAGTAACTATGTTATCTTTGTGCAAAATATATGACATTTATATTCAAAATATTCCTGGTCTTAAAGGAATCCAGCAATGTCAATTATATTATCGTAACTTTAGTTTGAGGTATTATTTATTACAAAAAGTTAAGTATTCTGGTATTCCCACACATCCTTGGGACGGTTGGTGGGGGGGGGGGAGGGAGGGACGACCGACCATCTGTTACCCTGTGAAGAATATTTTTTTTTTATTAACTGAAGATATTTGTTTTAGCTCATAAAATTCATACAAATTACCCGGTCAGAATATAATTTACATTGCTGGAATTTTATACTTGATGATCATTTTGAATATAAACATCATATATTTTGCATTAGACATACAAATTTTAGATAAAATGTTTTCTGAGTAAATATGTTATCTTTTGTGCAAAAATATAGACATTTATATTCAAAATATTCCTGGTCTTACAAGGAATCCAGCAATGTCAATTGTATTATCCTAACTTTAGTTTGAGGTATTATTTATTAAAATTAGTGGTTTTCCCCAAAATTTCTGAGAGGAAGAGGGCAGTGTAGTGTGAGAGGGGAGGGAGTTGAGTCCATTATTTGAATGGACATTAACTCACTGTATTTCTCTATTTCTTACGATAATTGTGTGCATGTACCATCATAAAATTAAGATGTTATTTTTACTACAACATAGTTATGTGTCTTCAAAAAGTGGAGATTGGGGTCGGGCCGTTTCTTATTAAAATTAATCCCATATGTTCTGTTGTTCACTTAACGCGGATTTCACTTAACACGGGACCCTCTGGGTTCTATTGACAGCTGCTATGGGGTACACTGTATATATATATATATATATATATATATATATATATATATATATATATATATATATATATATATATATATATATATATATATATTATATATTATACACAGGGTGTCCTATGCTCTAACAATGATCACCAACGCCATAACAAGCATAACTCCAGCTGTGCTTGAACGTGTTCTTCAGCAGTGGAGGACACGATTGAAGAGTGTTTTCAACAGAATGGTAGTCATGTAGAGCATATTATATAAAAAAATGGATTTTCATATATTTATTTTTCCTATGTATGGAAATGTATGGGACACCCTGTATATATATATGTATATACAGTCAACCTCGCTTACTGCACCCTGCCAAAACCGAATGCTCACTTTCCGTGGTGTGTACCTTTTACGCGGAGAGCGGCACGGCAGGGTGCGACAAGGTCGCCCAGTCATCAAAACATACACGAGTTCTTCACCACCCACCACAGCCGCCCAAGTCAGTGATAGTGATAATGAGTAGAGGATATGGACTTATATGGACTTTGAGGGTTTGACAAAGAGGCCCTGCAAGCTTGTGGTGGATAGTGATACAATTGATACATGAGCCAATAATCTGCTCCTCTGCTCGAACCAACCCTCATCCCCGTGCCCAGCCATCTTTTCTACTAATGTAAGTGTTAAAAACCTAATATTATTGATATTTCTTAATTATTAATTGTGTGCATACCATCATAAAGTTAAGAAGTTATTTTTACTACAACGCAGGTATTGTGTCTGAAAAAGTGGAGTTTGGGGTGGGCCCGGCCTCTATTTCATTAATCCCATATAAAAAGTTGTTCACTTTACGCGGGCCGTGGGCTGAATTAACCGCCGAAAGTGAGGGTTCACTGTATATATATATATATATATATATATATATATATATATATATATATATATATATATATATATATATATATATATATATATATATATTACTATATATATATATATATATTTCATGTAAATCCACAATGAAAAGGATAGATAAATTTGATAAATCGAGACCTTAGCTTTGCTTTATTCCAGTTGCCCTGAAGATGTTCGAATATGACCTAAACTAAGGTGTCTGCTGTTTCCATTTTCCCGAGATTTTATCATATATATAATATATATATATATATATATATATATATATATATATATATATATATATATATATATATATATATATATATATATATATATATATATATATATATATATACTGTAGTGATGATGGATGGTGTTATATGTGGTGATGATGGATGGTGTTATATGTAGTGATGATGGATGGTGTATGTAGTGATGATGATTGGTGTTATATGTAGTGATGGTGGATGGTGTTATATGTAGTGATGGTGGATGGTGTTATATGTAGTGATGATGGATGGTGTTATATGTAGTGATGATGATTGGTGTTATATGTAGTGATGATGGATGGTGTTATATGTAGTGATGATGATTGGTGTTATATGTAGTGATGATGAATGGTGTTATATGTAGTGATGATGGATGGTGTTATATGTAGTGATGATGATTGGTGTTATATGTAGTGATGATGGATGGTGTTATATGTAGTGATGATGGATGGTGTTATATGTAGTGATGATGGGTGGTGTTATATGTAGTGATGATGGATGGTGTTATATGTAGTGATGATGATTGGTGTTATATGTAGTGATGATGGATGGTGTTATATGTAGAGGATGATTGCTGTTATATGTAGAAAGATGATGATTATGTTAGTATGTAGTGATGATGGATGTTGGTATGTGGAAGATGATGATTGGTGTTATATGTAGTGATGATGACTGGTGTTATATGTAGTGATGATGGATGGTGTTATAAGGAAGATGATGATTAAAGTTATACAAAGTGATGATGGATGGTGTTATATGTAGTGATGATGATTGGTGTTATATGAAGTGATGATGGATGGTGTTATATGTAGTGATGATGGATGGTGTTATATGTAGTGATGATGGGTGGTGTTATATGTAGTGATGATGGATGATGTTATATGTAGTGATGATGATTGGTGTTATATGTAGTGATGATGGATGGTGTTATATGTAGTGATGATGGATGGTGTTATATGTAGTGATGATGATTGGTGTTATATGTAGTGATGATGATTGGTGTTATATGTAGTGATGATGGATGGTGTAATATGTAGTGATGATGATTGGTGTTATATGTAGTGATGATGGATGGTGTTATATGTAGTGATGATGGATGGTGTTATATATAGTGATGATGGGTGGTGTTATATGTAGTGATGATGTTTGGTGTTATATGTAGTG